TCTTTTTATTATCGATTTAAGCTGTTGCATGTTCATTATACATTTTATGAAATAACTTGAGTTATATCTAGATAGGATATAATAATTTCAAAATGCTCAAATGTCATTCACGCTAAAACAGACAGGCGCACGACCAAGTCTCATTGATGATTATTTTAAATTTTTTATTGAACGATTAGAATTTTTAGAGCATACAATTTGGAGAAATATCAATATTAGACACACTATGTCTATTTATATGTCTGTCTGTCTCATTTCATCTGGTGCATGGAATTAATATGTGAAATAATTTGATCTTTTAAACTAATATATTTGATGCATCCAAAGTCAAACAGAACAAAATTTAAGTAGGCTGTTCCAGATGTATCTGCTGGTAGCAAATAGAAATGATGTCAAAAGATCCCAGCAAATTTGAGAGTTATTAAAATGTGTTATTATAAGCAAAGAAAAATCATGCTGAAAGTTTTTACATGCACTGTATGATGCTTGATGTTTCAAGTTTTGAGAAAGCCAGCGAGGAATGTTAATAATTAAATATTATGCTTAATGAATGCATGGCTATATTTGACTGGACAACACAAGAAATAAATACGTATATGAGGAAATACTTTTATGATTGTTTAAAGATGGGAGAACCCTTCCCCAACAAAAAGAAAATGAAACAAAAACAAGTCATTGGGCATGTTAATTAATCTGAATATAATACTTTTCTGGTCTAAAATATTCAGTATTACAGATCAGCTGACGTATCAAATTCGTGTTAAAATTTTCTTATTGAACTCGTGTGATAACTTTATTAACTCATGTTATAAATGAACTATTATCCTTGGGAAAAAACGGAGAAAGAAGGAAATATAAACGTATGATAAATGCAAATTTTTGAGATGGTTTTCGTTAAAGTTATGCAGCCAAAAATGTGCAATAAATGTTTAAAATAGGAGAGAAAAATGAAATGTTCCTACAAATGTATCTGAAATGATGGATTATGAATATATATTATCTGGTATAATATAGATATGGACAGTGTATTTAATTTACATATTTGATATCAGTTAATTGTGGACATTAAATATTATTTAACTATCTGATATAATGTAAGTATGGACAAGGAATCTAATTATCTGATGTAATGTCTTTAATTATTCTCCTAGTATGAACAAAAGATGTTAGACATGTATAATTTATTCATTGGTTTAACCATAATGAACTGTAGTACATCCAAAACGGTGCGAAATTCTATCCGGAACAGGTAATTTTGAAGGCATGCGCATTGGAACTAAGGGAGGCAATTTTAAGCGCTAAGATCAGTAACTCCGTTGCAACCGTGAAACCAACCCTCTATACAGGACGCTAGCCTGAAATAACGTACATTTATGCCCACAAGACGAAGTATATGCTTCTTGTTGTCGGAAGATAAAACATCATAAACTATGGATAAGGAACATTTAGAACAAACTACTGAAAACTAATGTACTGTTCAGCCTTACATCGATATGCGTGCTCGACGCACTAGAGTCTGTCGCTTTCAAAACTGTTCCATTGTTTCAATTTATGTTAAAAATTCCCGTTAACACAAGTAAATATGAATTAATGTTTGCTTCCACATGTCTGCCGCCATTATAAATAAAACCTGCACACTTACAAGAATCCAAAGGAACCAAGCTTGGCTTCCTTATGTCGAGCGAGTTCATAAATAAAAATCAACACTCCTAAAATATACCAAAGACAGTTTCCAGGGATGGTTTGTTTTGTTAAAGAACCTTTGTATTTAATATCCTGTGAGTAAGTTTAAGCAAGGATTTCATTGATCACTGTGTTTATTCATCACCCGGTCTTCTATTTGTTTGCCATATGTAATCATAATTGGTATTTGCAGGAGAAATATTATACACAACAACAACTTTCCTTAATAATACTTTTGTAACCCATGCTAGTGAAAAGATTATCATTAGCACACATTACGGAAAGTCTTGTCAGTAATCAGTATACTTAGGGACTTCTGAAACTTCTGTTTGTCAAGTAAGGTGTTTTGAAATATAATCTATGTTATCACGAACCTGTTGTTAAATTACATGTGTGTTAAAATTAGAATGTTTTCTAATTCTTTCTATTTTATTTTTATTTAATTTTTATTTATTTCTTCTTCATTGAATATGATTATTATTTTGATGATGATTATGTACGCAGGCTCTGCTGTTTTGTTGGAAAGATAATGTTTATTTAAAACGTAAATGTGACTCGCATAAGCATGATTTTTGTATGACGGTTGTGTCGTTTTAAGTAAACAGTCAGAAATATCTATTTTAATGATTGGTTGTGGCAACGGTCATTTCTAATAAAACTTGTTGACATTCCATACTACGTTCGCAATATTTCGAAATCTCCATGATTTTTTTTCATGCGTGTACATGAAATGACGTGTTGGTTTGCTTTAAATTCTCATGTAATTTTGAACTAGTCTAGAGTCATATTTTAACATTTTAGAGAGTCACATCATAACATCCGATAGTTTATAATACCTTAAGGAAAATGTATTCATATGCTAGAAAGGGTTGTTCGTTCGTACGTTTTAAGAACAACATGTATTTTGTTATTGATGATAGCTGTACTTCATCCACCTTTGAAATAATAATTATTTTCCCAGGAGAACTACAAAACTGGCATTGGACAAAGACATTTGCTGAAATCAATTCTATATTTGAACAGGACAGTACAGATTGTGATTCACAGTAAAAATAAATTATGGACAATTGTGTTAACCTTCGTCTGACGTCGTCATCCGCCATCTTGGAACGGAGTTGAGTTTCAGACTACGTTAATTTATAAATGTTTAGTCACAGGACTTATGTGCTTTCACAATTTTAGTACACATTTTTGGATATTCTTTTTAAATCGTAAGTCTTGTTTCATATGTTTACCTTTTCACCGTGTTTTCTAGGGAAATATTTATTTAAAATTTACAAAGCTTGTTATCTTCGCTGTTTCTTTGTGTTACTTTAAACGAGCCGATACGTAACATTGTAAAAGAGAGCATGTTTGAAGAGACGTTGTTACTGGAATCTTTATTAAAGGAAACGTCTTGGAAATGAATATGAACGTGAACTAAGAATAATGGATGATAAAGGCCTATACAAAGGAATGACCTGGAACAAGTATGGACTAAGAATACAATAATGGATATAGGAACTACTACAGGAGAAAATCTTCCGAAGTTCGCAGAGACAGATATCTCCTATTTCTATCAAGTAGGGTGAATGCTACGAAGTGGTATGAAGGTTAACAGAAAATCCAAAACATTGTAATAATAAAACAGAAAACTATAAGAGGAAATTCCCCGGTTTTCGCATAAACGGATTGCCACTATGCTAATTAATAAGAAGAATGCTGACTGCGTTTGAATGAAGGAGGATTGAATCATATTCTATATACGACATCATGAAATTGAACGGAAAAAAGACAATGGATAAATGCTCAATGAATTCAAATGAAGGTATAGAAATTGAGAATATATTAAAGAAATTCAAGAACTAACAGATGCCATAATGGAGAGAATCAAGAGACATGCATCAACTTCTGTATACTTTACTTACTATCCCTTTCTAAACTATTGTAAACATACAAATACCATACAAAATTTTATGATTCTTAAAAATTTACCTTTAGTAATTGATAGACTTTTTGTGTACCAAATTACTATAATAGTAACTTGCAATTGAACTTCTGTTTTTACAATTTTGCAATTTCTTATTCAATTGATATAAAAATAACTCGAACTTTTAAACTAATGCCTACATATACCTAATCAGGTATATTGCAGTTCGAGAACTAGCATGAAAAGTGCTTACTAGAACGACGATGCATAAATATTTATGGATTTACCTTCAACAGCAACTTGTAAAGATCTTTGAATTTATACTTGATTAAAATAGCATATAACCATGACAATAATTCTAACTTATGCGATAATATTTCATATACCAAATGATTTCAATATAACTTGATATTTAATTTATGAGTTTACATTTGTTATCAAATGACTGAGACTCTTTAACCAAGCATGTAAAACGCTCACTAGATGTTAACATCAGCTTGTAAAGATAATAACTTATAAGTAAAGAAATTTCCTTCCTAAATTTAGCATCAACTATTATATATAATTGCTTCTCTTTTACTTACATTAAAATGCTTCTACAAAACTTAAATCATGTATATTAAATAACAACTTCAAGAAATTTGACTTATGTCAGACGGTCCATACAAAATGCAAGAAAACAAACAAAACAATATAGCACAAAAGACATAGCAAACATCAGACAATACTGATCCTTGGCACGGATAACTTCGTAAATAAACTCTAAGACCAATAAGGGTGAAGAGTATCAAAAAGATTTGTTAGGGAGGTATATAAACCTCAGAACAAAAAATAATAAAATCCAAATTTATCAAAACCGATACAAAAAAGACATATTTGGAGGGATATAAACATATAAATCTGTAACTTTATTAATATGGGGATCCCTCATATGATGTTAATCTATGAGGGACAGCACCAATAAACGTCACAGTGAATGTATTTTAAAATTATTTTTTTTATGAGATACAGTCGTTTAGTTAACTTGGATACAATAAAATCTTGGTCAGTTTGCACCTTGTAACTTGTCATGTCTGAATCACAGGTGCCTTAAAGCAATCTGTTGATATTTTCTTCCCGTTTGCGACTTTGTTATTGACATAAGCGATACATAAAACAGCAAGGATGTGTGATGTGAGTATGATTTTTAACGTAGCTTTAACAATTTTTCAGTCATATAACTACGATGTCTGCAGTGTGTCAGTTTATAGTGATGTCTAGCACTGAGACATAATGCAACAGACATGTAGCATGGTGTCCCACCCAGTCACATGATCCTAACACCAGGCCGACCAGTCACAACACTAACCTCTTAATGCTGAGCGTCAAGCGAGGCAGCTGTTAGCGTTATTTTTGTAAGTCTTTGGCATGACTCAATCGGGGATCGAACCCGTGACCTCCCGCATCCGAGGCGGACGCTTTAACCACTAGGCCACCGGAGCGTTATACTACAGTAAGGATGCATACTCAAGCCGACATCCGCTACATATACGGAATTCGTGAAAATATTTTTTCTTTAATAAATTTCGCATGATCAAAAAAAAAGGAACAAATTATAACAATACAAGGTTAGTTTCTTTCATTTTATATTCAAATAAGTGTATTTTAAAAATTATTTTGTACCGTGCGGAGGAGGAGAGGGGACAAATTCAACACAAATTTAAATCTTTTTTTATTTGTATGGAATAATAAAGCAAACATGATTGACGATATTGACTAGTGATGACAAGCTTTCAATTTACGCGCGCAATTACTAAGACAACGTGAAAATAAAAAACAAACAATAAAATTAGCTGGTAAGAGCATCATAGTGCAGGAATTAACACTGACAAAATGCTTAACATTATTCTCTCTCTCTCTCTCTCTCTCTCTCTCTCTCTCTCTCTCTCTCTCTCTCTCTCTCTCTCTCTCTCTCTCTCTCTCTCTCTCTCTCTCTCTCTCTCTCTCTCAGGTGTAATCGAGCGTGTATAATATGCAACACTGTTACCACCTGAAGCCTAAAATTAAATATATTTGTTATATTATCTCTTGTACTCTACCCTTAGAAAAATGTTTACGTTTTCTGTGGAATATTGTTTTATAAGTCAATATCTTTAATTTGACCGGAAGACTTAAAGTGAGATTGTCGTTGTACAAATGCCTATATTTTAGCAGAAAAAAATTGTATATAAATATTTTAATTAGAACGAGCAAGATAGGTCAGTTTCTGTTTTCTCTCATATATTTTTACGTTGCGAAGTATGATTATTTTCCTGGAAGGAGGATCAAGATAGTTCGTTTAAATTTATTTTTTCCTAAAACCTAACTTACATAATATCTACTTGTTTTTTGAAGAAAAAGAACTTGTTCAAACTATTGTTAAGTTGGACCGAATTGTCTTGGACAGAAATGTCTCTGAACCAAATTGACGATAATCCGGCATAAATGATAAAACTTTCCCATCTCTCACCTTATTCCACCCACAGCTTCAGCTTGAATCTACTCTTTCTTCTGGTAAAAAGGGTCTTACGACAAAGAAAGAACCGTTTATCCCATCATCATTCTTTTGGTTATATCCATATGCAACACAGTGCATCATATTTGCTGTACAAAAGCACGATCGCACATATATATTTACGTGATAAAATTAATCACTAGAATGGCTAGGTTGAATAGAAGGGGTAAATGTACGTCATATCCGTTTTTGGCACGCGGAAACTACCGATTGATTACTGAGATTGCCAAATAATTTTTTCATTTAAAAAGAGGATTTTTAAGTTTAATTAAACATTTTTATGGTGTTCATACATAACCTGCCAAGTAGATAAAACATACCAGTTTATATATTTGTAGACTGTATGGAATGTTTATGACTACAATAATATCACACGTTTGTACAATATAGATGGCTAGTGACCTTTAACTGTTTCTTCGGGCCGCACCCAAGACAAAAGACTGCATTCTACATTATATATATATATATATATATATATATATATATATATATATATATATATATATATATATATATATATATATATATATATATATATATATATATATTGGCTGAAAACATACTGTTACGTTACTACAGGAGATATATTTTTGGAATAGAGTAAAAAGATGTGGTCTCACATAGTATTCACTTGCAGTGATATAAATAAAATGATGCATACAAAGTGGATTTTCAACTCGCCTACTCCCTAGTAACCATATTGTATTCTCATTTGCGTATCAATGAAGATACTGTTCAGATTCTGTGTAATTTCATTTTTTCACCTGCCAAACATCTGATAGTTTCTTTATTTCTCACAGATAATATATTACGCTTGACGATTTGCAAAATAGGTTATTTCTCAACAGATTTGCAAAATAGGTTATTTCTCAACAGCTCATCAAAATTAGCTCTCATTAGCAGTTTACCCAAGATCGGATCAGGTAAGGTGTTGAAGCCGGAGGGGATTTCCAAAATTTCAAAAGGTTGCTGACTTTCTTCGAAAGGGAACCAAAGCAAATATCTATGTGTATGTTTACTCAATGTGTTTTAGAACCTAACAAGTATGCACAAGAACCAAAGGAAGGTTAAATTTCAAGTGATAAGTAACTGTACGTTTGTGTGTGTACTCTTTTTAAAACAACTTTTTGCCTAGGAGGAGTCGTCGCTAAAATGGGGATAATGGTGGTTTCAATATGCCAAAGATTATTGTAGAGTTTTACCTTCACATAGTTTGCCAAGTAGATAGAACATACCAGTTTATATGATATTTGTAGACTGTATGGAATCCTCCAGTCAGAGTTTAGACTGCTCTGCCTGATATTTCATTATACTTAATATCAATGTGATTAGATAGCGAACGATCCAAAACACTTTATATTTTATGACCAGACACTGCTTTTGCAAGATTTCGGATATTAACCGGTTGCCAAATTTGATGTCTGCAAAGTGTTTTGGGGTCTTAATGGAATCCGAGAAGACGGTGCTTTCTAGAGGTTTGGAATATGGCTGTAAGTATCAGTTATATCGGAAGCAAGAGACGGTGCCGAGTATTGTTGCAACGGCAGTTAAAATTTTGTCTACCAACCTAGAACTATCTGTTTATCAAGCAAAAACAAACTATGACTATCAAACCTTCCAAACCGATTTATCGTGGTTTTAATGTCTAAGAGCTATGAAAATGTATTTGTTATTTTTCTAGTGAAAAATATAGGTGTGGTAGTTGCCAAGTAACAGGACTTGTCTCCTCAGAATCATTTTGTCTTAATTATTTATGTGCTACATAGATTAATAGATTTTATGTACATTAATAGAATACTGCAGATGTTAACGTCCAAAGCAATCAAAGCAAAGACGACAATTGAGGTTCGACTAATATTTTCGAATGACCACCGCTCCCAATGATACACTTTGTTTAGCCAAGTGATTCTATGTATGAATTCTGGATTTACATATAGCCATTAACTGAACTTCAGATTATGCTGACGATATATTAAATTTACATATATTATACTGTTGCTATGAATAGCTTTATTCATGGAAGCCAACTGATAATAGCACTAAAATTATTAAATTGACAAACATTAGAGGAGACATGACAATATGGGCCAGACTGAAAACAATAACATAATTGCACAAGTGATATGATGTGGCAATTTTTTTTATTTCCAAAATGTTATATTAAGACATTTGGCCTAGACTAAATTAAGTAAACAAATTCCGACAAAAGCGGACTAACAGTAGCCTTAATAATTTTATCAGTGTTCTGAGACAAACAAATTAAAAACATTTTTTTTTAATGAATTCAGTAGACACTAACGTCCTGGAGAATTTTATTAAAATAACCTGAATTCAGTCGTTCTAAAGTTCTAGTACCGACCACACACAATTTTAATATATTGTAGCGGAACACTCCCTCGGCTACACTGACTTGAGTTTCGCTATCTCGAGTTCTTAATGATAGATCTATAGATGGAGTGATACCCCGCTGAATCTGTCTGGTGACTGGCATTCCAGAGTGTGACAGATTCTACCTCAACGGGATACCATCTTATTGCTGGCTTCTTGGGTGTCACCGACTTGGTCACAGACTAATCGCGGAGTCGCCGATTGGTCGCAGTCGCCGACTAGTCGCAGTGTCGCCGACTTGTCGCAGAGTCGCAGACTGGGTCGCCGACTTCTCAAGATTACCGTGTCGCTGGGTCGCAGACTTCTCGCAGAGTCGCCGACCGTCGCAGTCTCGGTCGCTGACTGGTCTCTGTCGCCGACTGTGCCGCTGTATCGGTCGCAGTGTCGTGGACTCGTCGCAGGGTCGCCGATTTGGTCGCAGAGTCGTCAATTGGTCTTTCCCTGGTCACCGACTGTGTCGTAGTCGCTGACTGGTCACAGTCGCAGACTGGGTTTTCTTCTGGTCGCTGACTGGATCGCTGTCTCTGTCGCAGAGTCGTGACGTTATCCGCGAGAGAGAGAGAGAGAGAGAGAGAGAGAGAGAGAGAGAGAGAGAGAGAGAGAGAGAGAGAGAGAGAGAGAGAGAGAGAGAGAGAGGACAGTGTGAAATGACGAAAGAAGATCTATCCTCGGTTTAAAACGTGTATTGTCGCAAGACCTTTGCATTTCTTGGACGAGCCTTGTAGCACCGGGTTGCTGGTCGACGAAAGACCTTTTCACTACCTTTTGCAGATTCGTAGCCTGACTCTTTCCACCCAAGGAATACGACCAAGTGTGCTTGCTCTGGCGGGGCGGTTATGCTGCTACACTACAGTGGACGGCTTCTCTCTACGCTGCTTCCTAACACACCACAATAGCAACCACAGTTGGTATATATATATATATATATATATATATATATATATATATATATATATATATATATATATATATATATATATATATTCAGACGGAATCACGTGACCCAAAACTAAGACGATAGATGGCACTACAAAGCCCGCCAAGTATTCAAAATTACAATAAAAACTTTAGCGAAACGAAATATTATACAACGAAACGAAAATTTGAAGTCCATGGGGTTTCCTCGTTAAAATATTAAATGTTTAAGAAACAAAATTTTAAAGCATATTTCAAAACATTTAAACACATTAAACGAATCAACTTGCGTACTAAATTTTCCAAAAAAAATGTCAAAATCAAAATACAGTAAAATATTTGAATATACGACTTTGAAGCTACCTTTTAATAACTAACTGACCACTTGTCACCTGCACACACCTTAGGTGGTCTCCATTTTCTCAAAAGGACCCATTTTTAAAAACAAAATAACACACAATTACTACTGTGGATTCAGTTTCACTAATAGCCCTTCTGGAACAAACAGAAGCTCTCAGGATCATTTTCGTGTAAAGTGCTTAGAATAAAGAGTGCAAGTGTGATTAAATACCTTTTGATTGATCCAAACGAGGAACAAACGTGATCTCATCAATAGCCTTGCCAATGCATGTGTCAGCTAAAGAA